CTGTGATTCACCAAGTTCTGCCCACACACCGCCCAAGCTGCATAGCTACGAGCACAGCTACCAGACATGGGGGCACGCACCGGGGCAACCGGCTCTTAAGGGCTCCAGCTATTCACACGCAACGTCAATCCCCCTTTAAAAAGAATATATATATAATATAATACAGGCCCATTGTTTGTTACCCTTGCCAACTGCTCTATGCATCAGAAAAAAGTCCTCCAATCTCAGAAATTCAAAGCAAAGGAACAACGTGACGGGACACGGCAACAGAACACATATTGGAGCCCTCAATACTCAACACTTGTGGATCCAGGTGACATGCGGACACTTCTTGGTCTTTGATGGTCCTGACACGTGAGAAACTTCCACCACTTGGTCCACTCATTGAACTAACTAGTAACAAGAAGCTACTAGGAGCAAAGGGCATCGCTACTAGGAGCAAGGATGCTGCTAGTAGCTCCTGGCCTTACTACTAGGAACAAGAAACTACTAGGAACAAAGGAGCCTTGGGCTGCGAGTGCCTCGCTGGAACTTCTGAGGCCCGGCTCTTCAGAGGTGCTCGAGCGGCCAAGGGCTCAGACACTGGTTTCGGCGCTGAAGATGAATTACTAGGTGGTGGTTTCAGATAGTTTTATATTCAACCGGACCCTTACTTGCGATAGCTCGGGATGATCGAACCCGCTTAGAAATATGTTCTTCAAGCGAGTTGAAACCACCGACCAGACTAAGGTTCAGCGGAGGGTACTTCGAAGCCAAAGGTCACTGGGCCTAGGTTCAGGCAGACCCTAGATCACCATCCTGGTATACTCCAAAATGATCCAAAATGCCAAGTAAATTTGGAAGAGCACCGTGAACTGCAGTGTTTGAGTCAGGCAACCCACGCCAAGCAGCGGCAGTTCTGGCCCATTTTTGACGAGAGAAGCACTTCTAGATTCTAGAGCTTGGAGACTGTAGAATAGATTGGATGTCAGTAACGACCAAGACAGTCCATCGTTGTACTTTGTGGACTTCGTGTCTCCAAAACTGGGAGTTGGTTCACCCCAAATGATTTGAGTTTTTTGGAGGTTGTGTATTGGGGGTTGCGGCTGATTTTGTGTCAGTATGGTGGCAATGGCTCAAAGAACAAACTTTGCAGAGCAATTAAAGCACAAAAGGTGTCACCGTGTATAGTAATTGATACTTTTCACACACCCGCTTGTAAAGAACATGTGTTGTGATGCCACAGAATGCTGTCCAGCTACGTTGGGCTGATCCGCTTTGCGGTCAAGATCGATACCCCAAGCCCGTTTGGCACGCTCTACCTCACCCACTCCTGTGGACACTGTGGTTGCGTGCGGAAGCGTCAAAGGCTGATTGGACAAGGCCTATAACCTCCGAATGAAGTGAGGTTGGAAAAGAGGTAATAGGCTTATTTTGAGAGGCAAACAAGAGGCAGCATGTCAGGCCATTCCAAGCATGTTTGTTGCAAATAACATGAGCAGTTCTAGGCAGGCGGTAGGACCTAGTGCATCACTAGGCACATGCCATTTTTGCATGATTCTTACTCGAGCCATGTCCGACGAAATGACATGAATGAAGCTGTCAACGGGGTGTCTGCAGCGATGCTACACAAGGATGTGTGCGATTGCATCCTGGATGCAGGAGATAGCCACAGACGCGGCCCCAAGGTAACACACGTTGAATGTGAGGAAACAGATAGGACAAGAGGGCAGATTGAGTTTTCAGAACCACTTTGTTTTTGCTCTGAACAGACTTATGAAGAAGAGAAGGTTGCTTTTGAACGGAAGTATTCTCAAGCCACCCACCTTCTTGGTTTGATATTGTTTTAATTGAGAAAGAGAGCAGGGACAGTCGTCACACATTGTCTTGCTGTTCTTTTGCTTGCCGTTGGTCTCGGCATGTCAACACACAAACGTCCACAGAACAACCCCCGAAATGGTGCTCAAACGTCCACAGAACAGTTCCTGTCGATCAAATAAAAACTGGGATTTTCATGCATCCCTCCAGTTTCTAACATGCCGATTCCACCTGGTCAGATAGTAGCAATAGGAGCTGGGGCACTACTAGCCACCTGTGTCAGCCTGTGTCCCAATCGCTTCTCCAACCGAGGCATTGGCACCTTCGTGGAGCCCGACTGCCTCCTCCGGTGGGATCGGATCGAGGATGTTCGGAGGGACTCACCGGACCAACGGCCGTTGAGGACATTGGATTACGTCAGCCCCAGCAAAAATGTGGGAGGGCAACCCTCTCTCCACAATGAAATATGACTGGTGAAAGCATAAAGCTCAAACTATTGCAATCTACCAAGTGTTTATTCCCATTGTCCTATCCAGTGGTATTTCTGAGAGGGTAACACATAGACCAAAAAAGCTGCAGTCTTTTCAGGCTGGACCTCCTTTGCCGCCACTTCGTCTCGGCGCAGCTTTGGCGCCAGCGCGCACAGCAGCTGCTGGCCGTCGACGTGCCTCCACCCTGGGCGGAGCTGCTCGATGCGCGATACACGTGTCGAAGGAGTGCTGTTCGAACGGTGCAGCCGAACACGTTTTCGCGAGGTGACGCGTCGCTGAGGCCCGCGCCTGTGGGCGCCCCATGGGTCGCCAGCTGAATCAAGCTCCTAGTAGCGATGCCCTTTGTTCCTAGGAGTTTCTTGTTCCTAGTAAGGCCAGAAGCTACTAGTAGCGTCCTTGCTCCCAGTAGCGATGCCCTTTGTTGCTACTGGTAATAGCTTCTTGGGTATTTGATGGCTGAATCACAAGTGATTCGGGGTCCGCGTCCTTCTTGACCCTTCTGATTTGGGGCAAGACACCTTGTGTCTCCCAGCATTCGCAATAGAACATGAGTGGATCCACCATAGAGTAACTCAGGTTTCTTTTGAAATGGGGATCCACTGAAATGTATTTGTCATCTCTTGGCCCTGAAGAGCTTCTGCTTTTTCCATGTTGGTGCTCAGGTTGGAGCTTTGATCTAGGTTGCAACTTGTTCTTGCACCTTCGGCTATGCTTTCTGGATCGTTCACTGCTTATCCGTCAAAACACCAAAACGAACGTGTCGGGTCCACGAACACGGAAAGAAGTCCAGTAGTGTGACCGGCCAGAAAACTGGTTGTTACTAGTAGTCTTTTGTGTGACTACTAGCTTCTTGTTACTACTAGTAAGGCACCTGTTACTACTAGCGTGGCACCTGTTTCTAATAGCTTCTTGTGTGTGTGTGTGTGTCCAACGGGTGTTTTTACTGAAGTTACTCGTCAACAAGTTTTGGGTGATTGATGTGGATGGTGTCTCTGCTGTCTCATTGGCCTGCTGCAATTTGTGGGCAACATGGCTTGTCCTGACAGGGGTTTCTGTGGACTCATCGCTTAAACAGTCCATCACTTGGGGCAGGTTGTCAGTATCAGTATCTATTGTCAAAAGTGGTTTCAATCTTGCGCTGTTTGATTTCACTTGAACCATCTTGGAACCTCCTCATGATTCACCAACATCTAATCACCTCATCATCTTTGCGTTGCTGGTCATCTCCATTTTATTCTGTTCATTCTCCACCTTCATGAACCTCTGCTCCAGACTAATTGCAAGCCTCACAAGTCCAGTCTTCTCAGCACAGCGACATTCACCTACCAAGCGTCACCACCTCACGATTCCCTGTGCCTGCCAGGAAAATTCAACTTCCACACCTATAACACACACAAAGTGCTGCGCCTGCAAAAAGTTGCTGCATCGCATCTTCAGCAACATGAAGCAACCACACCACACATGGAGCGAATGATTTCGACACTTTCGGAGCACAAAATCCCCGTTTTTGCTAAGACGAACGTGAAAGAACAGCTTCGAGGCGAGGGATTGAAAAGCAAATCCGGCACTGCGACACTCAACACCTCCAAAAGACCACCCTGCGAAGGCCAATCCCAATGGCACAGCGAAGGATACCGATGATCTCACGAAACGCTGCACCTGCGCTGCCAGGAGCTGCTTCCAAAGTGACCAGCTGCTTCCCGCTGCTTCTTGCAATGCATTAAATGTACTACAAAGTTGTCAGTTCTGAGGCCACAGCTTCCAGAAGCTGCTTCCCGTACAGAAGCTGCTTCCCTGACAACATTTGCACTATCAAGTGGCCAGTTCTTGCAAATGTTGCGCCACACCGAATGATTTCGACAACTTCTGAGCACACTCATGCACATCCATCAAGATCGCAGTTTTTGTCAAAAAAACATGGCTTCGAAGCAACAGCCTCAAACGCAAATCTCACTGTCACAGCGACATCCAACACCTCAAACATACCGCGTGCGCATGTAGAAGAAGAAGCCCAATGCAAGATCCAAAATTCCTCGCAGCTTGCCTCCACCTCTCTTGCCAAGGCCCGGGACTTGGCGGCTGCGTCAGTCGATGCCTCACTGCTTTGTTGGGCTCCAAGCGATACCCGTCTTCTACTGCTTCGGCCTACACAACTTGCCGGCGTCTCAATGCAGAGTGTTCTGGTCAGGCCCGGCAGATTTCAAGCCAGATCAAAATGATGGCCATCCGCCGTTCAGAGAACGCCGTGTTTGAAATGCTGCAATGCTTCCAGGAGGCCGGAAGATGGGGGGGTGTCGGGCGTGGTGCGCTGCTGGTGGGGCAGGCAGCGCTGGCGCACAGAGTTGCGCAAGAATATTTCCACAAATGGCTGTATGCAATTGGAGCCAAATAAAGACATAGCACAGCATCAGTGCGAGTGGGAAGATGATGGCATTTATTCCTCCGAAGATGTTTGGCGCTGTTATTTTGATGGAGACGAAGAGCTGCATGACATTTCAAGGCAGCTGGCCGACACTGCCACGGATGATTGGGTGCCGCAGTGCCCACAATGTGGCCGGGAGAGGGTACACTGTGATCGCGCAGGGCTTCACGCTGCTGTTTCGCGACGCGGACAGCGAGTGGCGGGCTCGCCGAGGCCTAGGGCCGCTGTGGCCAGACTACGGCAGCAGATTTCAGAGCAACGTAAACATCAAGCAGTTGGGTTGCCGTAGACGAGATTGTGATTTTGCTATGTGTGCAGGCAAATCGGCATCCGAATTCATTCGTCCGATGAGGTGAGCACGGACCTTGGCGCCGTCTACAGTCCAGCAGGGCAGTCAGGCCAAATCAATTTCAATCATGGGCATGAAGTCGATGGCTTTCCAACATGTCTTTCTCTGCAGGTGGCGCCGTGGACCGAGCGAAGGTGCTTTGTGACAGCTGCCTGGCCTCTGGACCCGAATCCTCGGACGCAAAAAAATCTATGTATCAGCAAGTGTGATTGCGCACCCCGCGGGAAGACTCGAGAATATTGATTTTTTGCCCCAAAAAGAGCAATGATCTTGAGTAACCAGGGAAAAGTAGAAGAGCAGAACCAAGAAAGGTTTGTGCTAATGGCAAGGGAAAAACATTTCTAAGGCTTTAAATCTGAAAGGTCGCCTCTTCTTATTTGTAAAGGCAAGAGAAGGTGGGTACAATATTCCAAAGAGTAGAAGCTGCCTTGGTATACGTGGCGCGCAGCATTGCTGCGTGCGTACAGTCACGCTGGCTTCGCCTAGCTCATCGCGCGCCCCATTATAAGCTCATTGACAACACTTGCCATTGTATAGGATCTAGGCCAGTTGTTACAATTTAAAGCACGCCAAACACTTGGACATTGCATTGCATTGCAAAACGCAAACGACGCCAAATTATTGCAAAAAACAGTTTGACCCGAACATTTTCCAATATTTTCAATTATTTTGTTGTTGCTCTAGCAATCCGATGTGGTCCCATAGATGCGCTACAAACAAAATTTAAGAATTGACGACAGACTCCTTGTGGTAAAAAGCCGCGTAGATCCTTGTCAAAACTCTTCGTAAAGGCAATAATAGAACGGATTTCGTCGTTAGAGTGACTAATGTCCACATCTGATTAATGAATAGGCCCCCCCTATCCTGGGAGACCCCAAATAGACTGAAACAGTGTTTGGCACAGGTAGTTTTTTTCTAGCATAGGAGAAAGGCAGGCATCTGAAGAAAGGAATCTACTAGAAAAAAGGAATCCATCACCTCAGCAGAGAATCATTGAGAACCCGTTCCATCAGCTCAGCAGGAATCCTCAGCCGGACTCATTGAAGACCCCTTCCTTCACCTCAGCAGGAATTCTCATCCTGGAATCAAAACCAAAGGACATTTACTATTGTGGATTGTTTTTCTGCCAGCAAAAACATCAGCTGTATTTAGCGTCAGCCATTATTTTGTATCTGGGCCATTCATGAGTGGTACCCTTGTTGAACAATTTTCATAGGTTTGCTCAAAGTTTTCACAAGGAATTTTCAACGAAGAAACCTTAAGTTGTTTTGGTTTTACCTGTCAGCTACTTGAGAAGAAGAGTTCATCAATGGGAATGAGATTGGGGCCAAATTAGATTGAGGGCAACTGAGAGCAAGGAGATTGAGGCAGGAATTTGTCTCAAAACATGTTTAAAGGCTGGATTTGGGATATCTAGGTCCAAAGGTGAAACCAGTTGGTTTTATTGAGGTATAGTTATTAAGCATATGTCGACTGCAAATTTGTTTCAATAAGGTTTGGTGTAGGCATTTTTGTGAAATTCACAAATTCATTCACTACCCTTTGTATGATTTCAATAATATATTTTTGACACATATTATCACCAATTCCATATTCAAAGCACAATGGAAAAGGAAACAATGTCGAAATGGAAACTTCCAGCAGATGCAGCTGAACACCCTAATCACCCTGAATACCCAACAGACCCAACAGACCACTTGCAGGCCAATTCGCAAGATCCAGATTTTGCCAAGATCATTCACAATCCGATCTTCCGATCACACCACAGGATCTTCCAGGTCCTCTACCTGGGCCTCCTCCGCCGCAGCAGCCGGGTCGACGAGCCCTGCGCACGCCGCATCCTCGCGCCGCGCGAGGTCGTCCTGGATGACACGCGCCACGCAGTGCCGCAGAACCTGGTGCTGCTGAAGCTCTACCACGGGTTCCTTGGATGCAAATCATGGCGGCAGGAGTTTGTTGGTGGCCCATGGCAATATGATTCAAGTAGAAGTGGTGCAGAAATGATGTTCTTCAAAAGGATTGGGTCTCACTCCTTTTATGCTTCTGGGGTCCCGACTATATGATTTCAATAGCAAAAGAAGAGTTTGGAGCAATTGACTTTGAGCAGGGGAGGGCCGGCAGCGACCACTCGCCAAACTGTTTCCGACTGATTGGCCAGAAGGAAGGTTTTTGGGGTGTCCGGCTAGAAGATCTGCAGGAACTCATCACGGCTGATGTTGATTTTTCAATTTCGGCAAGTGTGCTACTATGTTGCATTTGTGGGAAGTATCCCTGTTTATGAAGGTCAGATTTCCATGGTGTGTGAATAATATATACCTAGAAGATCCTTTGGGCAGAAATTCTTGCCTTTTTCGGGAAGAGCGGCTCTTCCCGTCCTGGGGCGGAAATCAGCTGTTTGCCGCGGAAATATGTTTGTTGCCGCGAATATTCCTTTTCAGGAATCCAGTCAGACAAAGACAACATATTCTACAGGAGTTGAATATTTTTGTGGTTTACATTGGGCATTTCTGCCTGGAACGGTCACCGCAATGAGAAAAACCAATTTGCAGCGCTTAAGTTTCCACCTCCACCTGCAAATCTGGCTACCATCGTATCATATATTATGTGTCTTTGTTTTTGAAGGTTTCTTGTGCGGAATGATCACAAAAGGACTAAAATCAGTCCAAAGTTGAAAACACCTGGCGCGAAAATCCCCGGGAAAAAGGCAGAAATACCCGGGAAAGAGGCGGAAATACCCGGGAAAACGGCGGAAATACCCGGGAAACCGGCGGAAATTTCCTGGTAGAAGGCGGGATTCAAGAACAGTGCCTTTGATGCCTTTGAAGGGCTTGAACATATGTCGCAGCCTCTTTGTGAATGTCATGAATTTAGAAGTGTCAAAATCGTAGGGTGTCAGATCTTGAGATGTGAAGCTATGCAGAACGATATGTGGTCTGCAATAATGGAAGAGACAACCTGGTAGGTTGTAATGGTTTTTGAGTTGCTATGTTGGATTTTGCTTGAGGCAAAAATTCCCTGCTGCCCGCGGAAATTCCTACCTGGCGCGGATTTCCCCTAAATCCGCGAATCCTCCCGGGCAAATCGGACTGAGGCAGAAATTTCTGCCCCAGGTGCTTCTAGGTATATATATATGTACGACAGAAACATGTACACTGGCAGTGTTTGTTCTAAAAAAGGTTCACTGGGTTCTGTGTTAGAGATAATCTATGGGGTCTTACTTTTTCATGTTTGGGGGGTTTTCTTCGACTGATGGCGACGTCAACATGGGAGGTCCTTCATTTGCATTCGGAAAAGGTCCGAAGGCATGTAAGCCTCCGGCAATTCCAAGGCCAAAGCTCATGTGCAGGAGCATCAGTAGCAGCCCGCTCGCAGTGGGAAACGGTGCGTATGGTGTCACCAAGTGCTTCGACAAGGCCTGGACATGTTGCCAGTACGAGCAGGTTGACAATCTCAAGCTGTGGAACCAGGCTTCACTTGGTTCAAAAAACCACGGTGTTGCACCTAAAGAGGCTGCACCAATGTGCTTGACTGGACGCCCATGGACATGAGCTCAACTTGCATGTGCAAAAGATGACTTAACAGACGGTTCCCCGTACTTTCTCACATTCAGGATGTATGTTACTTTGGAACATCCTTTTCCAACACGGATTGATTCGCACTAGAAGCGGGTTGTGGAGTCTTTGGTCCCCTCATGGAAAATGGCTGCGATGTGATTTGTGGAATGTTCAGAGTCCGAACATTTTGCTGACTGCAGCGAAAACAGCAAAGCCAAATGAGCTGGTGACTCTGTGGCTACCTTGCTAAGCAGGATTGGAGACCCTTCAGAGCATGTCCAGTCATAGTGACATTTGGACGTCTAGTGCCCGCTTTCTTGGGGCCATGTTGGAGGTGAACCAAGCAGAAGCTGACCAGCTTCATGGGCACTGTTTCAGCACGCTACCACAAACATGAGGGGGTCCACAATCGAGCAGACGGCGCTTACCAGATTGGCTTTTGTTATGGTGCAGCTGCAGCCAAAAAAATTGTGTCGTCATATTTTTTACTGTGAGTACACGCCAACAACGCGCGTACATGTCCTTATCTTTGCCATCGCACGGCATTCAATTTAAAGGGTACCATCAGGATTTCTTGACGATATATGTACACAGTTTACAGTACCATCCAATTGTATGTATATTTTGGTACCATCCCATTGTATGTATACAGTATACACAATCATTAAATAACAAAAAAATGATCCCCAATTCATGTTCAAAGTGCATAGACTTTCCTCTGGTCCCAGAAGTTGCCAACAGGGCCCAAGACACCCTGGCACACCATTTCCGAGACCTTCAAATTGAAAGATGACTGGTATGAGTCAGAGGAGACTGTGCCACATCAGCAAGTGTCTTTCAATCTTGGTTGTTTGGGTGGAAACCTCAATCTGTTGTACAGCATCAACCAGAATTCCTTTGCTGCAGCTGAGGCATCCGACGTTTCTATCCGGATAGACAGACAGCCTCTGGACCTGCCGAGGGGCCTGTCATGGAGAAAGCAGACTTCGAGGTCCCCGTGGGACCGGAACTCTTGAAGCCTGGACGCCACTGCGGACGCCGCGGCACGGAGACGGCGGAATCGGGATCAGACCTTCGCCGGCGAAGGCGATCAGAAACGACGATCTGTTCAGGTTGGGGATCCTCTAGTGACTCTAGTAGCTTCTAGCTACGTTCGTAGCTTCTTGTTACTAGTAGTGTGGCCAGGAGCTACTAGTAGCGTCCTTGCTCCTAGTAGCGATGCCCTTTGCTACTAGTAGCTTTTTGTCAACAACTTTCTGATGGGGAGTGATCCTAAGTGGACGGTCAGAAGTGCCGCCACCCCCACACTCCAAAGAATGGTGCTCACGGTCAAAGATCCTTTCGAGGTCCGCGTGTTGGTTGAAGTTCACACTGCCATGAAGCACGCGAGCCCGGGCACAGGCGAGCAACATCCCTTTTGTTGGAGCCTTTTTTTAATAGATGTTTATGTGTTTGGGGGGTACGCAACTAAACAAACACCTGTCAGTGTCAGCAGTTGAAAGACGTGTTCAATTCCTGCTGCCGTTCTGTGTACACAGAGGGCTTAGCAAGTTTCAGGTTTCACCAGGTAGTCAAGGAGCGAAGGGATTATATTATATGTAGCGGTATGATTCGATTGATTTGTCCTTTTGCGGCACCACTGGTGTGGTTTCCAGTCTCAACTGGATGCTGGTGAGGTGATGTGCAGGTTCAGATGTTTGTTTGTGCAGGCACCTTTCACAGACCTTTTTTCGGAGCCGAAACCTTTTGCGCTTGAAACAGAAAGGGCTTCCGGGAAAGGGAACAAAGGGAAGGTCAAGCTTATACAATTCTCTCTGTGTGTTTCTCATGATTTGTTTGAGAGGTTCGTGTGCCTTTGGGCAAACCTGGGTGTTCAAAGTTTTGCTCAGGTGAAAGCTGTCACCCCTATATACGTGGATTACTATGGGACACAAAAGGACCATAGGACTTGCATGTTCTTTCGAACAGACATCTAGAAGGCCCCCACCTGTGTGTATATTTGTATATTGAACCAACTGGGAGTCCTTCGTGGCCAAATGAGTGTCGGTTTTAATTAGTTTGCTTTCCGTCCGCTTACGGCATGTTTTTGATTGCCAATTGCTTTAGAGTCGAAGGAGCGAACTGGTCGGTTCCGGAATAAGGTGATGGAATCGGTCGAACTCCCTCGGCCCGAACGCCGCGGGATGAGGAAGATGCTCGACGACTGGCTTTGCCAATCGATTTGCACCATGGAAAAAGCAGGGGAACGGCACTCGAAAAAGACGCTCCCTGTGAGGCGCTAGTGAACACAAAGCTTGTCTCCGACTTGATAACCCTGTTATCCTTTCCTGCTTGGAGCCACTTCATTATATATGTGTGAGCCCATTTGGGGATCATGTTTCACCATCTTGGGGGGTCTGAGAGGCGGATCAGTTCGCTGCAGCTGTTTTGGGTAGTGTAAAGGTTCTGTTTTTTTTCGGCGGTGGTTTGGAAGAGGTCATGTTCTGTGATGATTGAACATTGTTGGGAACATGATAGTGGAAAATGTGTTCATTGTTTTTTGTTATGTGTTTGCATGTTTTTGCTATATAATTGAGTGACTAAGAAATCTTGACTTTCCCGCCCACACATGACACTGCCCTGGCACCAACCGAGGTAAAAGCCGAAGTGTGGACCGACAGCTCTTGGTGAGTTGCTGGGTCGGCACAACATAGAGCAGCTCCGCCCGTGGCGGAACGCGTGAGGTCCAAGAGCGTTCCGCCATGAAAACATGTTACACATCGCTGGGGGAATCGAACACAGATCGCTATAGCTGGTGGACATGACGGACCAGAAGTTCCGCCCGTGGCGTCGCTACGAACGGAGCGACCCTGGCCTCGCAAAACCGAACGGAGCGCCCGTTCCGCCCGAAACCGACGACTCGGAGCGATAGGATGCGCGAAGCGAACGGAGCTTTTGAGTGGACTAGATAGATTGGGTGATTCATTTGGGTGATAGATTGGGGTCGTGACAAGGACCCACCTGTGGCCCCCAAAAAAATTGACGGTGGCCCCGCAAGACCTTTGTTGGAAGTATTGCAGCTCCGGCTTTGGGGAACTGTGGCTGAATATAAAAAGATCCCAAAGTACTCGAGGTTAGCAGGAGTTCTAAACTAAAGTGGTTTTGATATGTTTTGATAAGTTGAGCAGAGGGGGTGTCCCCAAAGCTATCCTTTTGAAACCATCTAACAGCAAAGCTGGACAACGCCCAGGCACCCGACACAGTCAGTTCCAAGGTTCTGAGGTGAACAACCCAGACATCTTGAAGATCTTGGATCTCTCGGTCAACTTGCAGATTTGGGTGCTTTGCTGCAGAGAAAAACATGGAAAAGAAGCCAGATAAGAAAAGAACCAAGTGTTGCGGCAACTTGTTTGGGCCGGGTTGTTGAGGTGACACGGTGAGGGTTTTGGTTCGGCTTGACAACATGGTCTCGGAAGGGAAACAGGATCCAACATGCGTTGTCTCGGTCTCAGCACTGAATGCTCCCCAACATCCCGGCCTTGACAGTGAGGTTATTGTGGAGGGCCGTGCTTTGGCGCCACAAATGTTAGAGCGTTTTGAGATGTGTGCACCATGCGACTTGTTTTTCGGCCACTACATGTGACTACTTTGCATGTGAGTCATCCTGCTCCCAGAGATCATCCACCCACTCTACACCCAGTAAAATAAGACACGGCGACCTGGACCGCTCCTTTGTCCATCTTTGTCCCTTTGATGGTTCTGTTTGAGCGCTGGGACCGTTTGATGCGATTGATCACCCCGAGGCCGTTCTTGGCAGCCCGCAGGTATTCCTTTAATGCCAACGGGTACTAGGACTTGCAGGGCCACACATGTGGAGAAGTTTGAGGGAAAGACCATCAGAACGGGTAAAGGCTCAGAGCTCGACCTGAGGTTTGGGAGGGCGAGGAGTTTCGAGTTCTCAGTCCTGAAATGCCTCTGCGCCTCGTGAGCCAAGATCGAGAAGGCAACGATATTTTACCACGGTCGTGACAGGTCCTAGGAATCCTAGGAGATGTAGGCTGGAGCCGGCCAATTGGAAAGCTAGAGTCATTGTTGATGTGGCCGCCTGGTTCACAGCATCTCGTTTGGCGTTGGAATTTGCAATCTGGCATGAAACATGACCAAGAGGTGTTTATTTGTTCTGAAGACCCTTGGATCCCATGAATCCTTGGTTTAGTTCCAGGTCCGTCAGGCTGCCGGTTGAGATCCATGAGTAGTCATGAGTCATTGCTATTCATTGCTCCGTTTTGGAGGTTTCCAGCTTCACTTCGTGCATCTACCCTTTGCTGGCTGCGACTTCTCCAACTGCATCGACTTGCTCATTGAGGTGGATGCCTTGCCATTCGACTTCTTCAGGGACTTTGGAGAGTGGACGAGAAGGGGAGATCTGGGTGATGGACCACAGATCACAATTTTGGGGGGGCCCAAGGGGAAAACAACAAACAGATCATCAATTTACTACGTTTATTGCGTTTATTGGCATGTGTCTAAAAATTTACCAATGGTCGTCGTCTCTTACCCAATGATGCCTCAATCGCTGGACCGGTGCCGGTGAAAACCATGTCGGAAGGTAATCCGGTTGGAATGTACTGATAGTTGTACTGTTATATATATATATATAGACAAACTGATGACTTCAATATAGGCGCGCTAGTTGGTCGTCAAGGGTGTCCAAGACCCCAGCCGCATTGCATTCTAACACTTCAAGTCGGTTTGTTTGTTGGAGGTCTTTCAGATTCGGACAGATTTGGATGTATAGTTCTTGATTGAGTTGTTCGTCTTGAGCAACCATGAGCAAAGAAATCCTTCTCGGGCTAGAGATATGATGAGATCTTTGGAAGTCACCTGAGAGTCACCGATCTCCCAAAAAGGAGCGATCGGACGCTACGTTCGGGGCTGGCATCGCTACGAACGGAGCGATCGGACGCCGTCCGGAACTCGTGGCGGAACTCGGTCGCCGAGGCGGGAGAGCGCAGCGGTGGCGATGCTCCGCGGCCGGGTGACCACCTGGCCGAGACATCAACAGATGCTCAGAGTGAAGATCGGTGAAGATGGGTTAACGCTTAATACATTGGTTTGTTCGTTTTTTTCCCAATAAAGATCAAAGAGCCGGAACATGGAGTGACATGAGCCCTCTCTTTCAACTGTTTGGAATGAACATGTTGCTTTTACGAATGGAGAGATCAGCGTTTTAACAGAGCTTGCTTTTCGGATGGGTGTACCCTGACAAAGTGTCGACCTTTTGCGGGTTCAGGGTTCCAGCTCATGCCATGTGTCGCTGCTCCGCCCAATCGATCCCATCAGATTGAGGCTTTGGAGTAGACAAATATGAATTAGTAGCAAGGACGCTACTAGGGGCTCCTGGCATCGCTACTAGGAGCAAGG